AAGGATAAATACTGAATTTGAACTATTTCATTGTTTATGAATTAGGCAAACAATGCTAATCAAATTGGAGATCCCTAGAATAGAAAAAAATGTTTCGTCCATTATCCTTATCAGTGTAATAGTCCCCACACATATTTTGTATTACATTTAGACTTGCGTATTAGCTATTATCTTTAAGTTGAGGTTTCACCTTTTACTAAGTCAATAAAAGATCACAAAAATTAGGCAAGTTGAATTTATTATTCCTAAATGAAAAGTACAGACATCTAGGCAGCTGCACTAAAGCCAAAATTTACTAATATATAAAATATAGTATGCAATGCATACTAATACTAATTAGTAAACATGCCAACATTCAAACTGGCCCATATTGTAGGCTTAACAGAAGTACCTGTCATATTTTTCAGAGAGACATGACGGCCTTTGTTTAGACTGAGGATGTTCTTTAATGTCCAAGAGTTCTTCCTGAAAAAGGAAAAAAACAGGAATGCAAGAGTTGTATTCACAGCACTTATATTCAGAGCCACTAACTCTTGAAATTCAGACAATTTCATGGATTCAGACAATTTCAATAATCCAAAGCATTGTTTCCCAAAAATAACTATTGTCACTTTTTTCCATGAACACTGGAACACATTAAAAAATGAAATTGATTTCTACTCTCGAATACACACACACACCTCCATGTAACATACATACATACATTTTCTATATCTATATTAATCACAGCACTAAGATATATACACTGCTCAAAAAAATAAAGGGAACACTTAAACAACACAATGTAACTCCAAGTCAGTCACACTTCTGTGAAATCAAACTGTCCACTTAGGTAGCAACACTGATTGACAATCAATTTCACATGGTGTTGTGCAAATGGAATAGACAACAGGTGGAAAGCAGAGGCAGTTAGCAAGACATCCCCAATAAAGGAGCGGTTCTGCAGGTGGTGACCACAGACCACTTCTCAGTTCCTATGCTTTCTGGCTGATGGTTTGGTCACTTTTGAATACCGGCGGGGCTTTCACTCTAGTGGTAGCATGAGACGGAGTCTACAACCCACACAAGTGGCTCAGGTAGTGCAGCTCATCCAGGATGGCACATCAATGCGAGCTGTGGCAAGAAGGTTTTCTGTGTCTGTCAGCATAGTGTCCAGAGCATGGAGGCACTACCAGGAGACAGGCCAGTACATCAGGAGATGTGGAGGAAGCCATAGGAGGGCAACAACCCAGCATCAGGCCTGCTACCTCCACCTTTGTGCAAAGAGGGACAGGAGGAACAGTGCCAGAGCCCTGCAAAATGACCTCCAGCGGGCATCAAAATGTGCATGTGGCTACTCAAATGGTCAGAAACAGACTCCATGAGGGTGGAATGAGGGCTCGATGTCCACAGGTTGGGGTTGTGCTTACAGCCCAACACCGTGTAGGACGTTTAGCATTTGCCAGAGAACACCAAGATTGGCAAATTCGCCACTGGTGCCCTGTGCTCTTCACAGGTTCACACTGAGCACATGTGACAGACGTGACAGGGTCTGGAGACGCCATGGAGAACGTTCTGCTGCCTGCAACATCCTCCAGCACGACCAGTTTGGCAGTGTGTCAGTAATGGTGTGGGGTGGCATTTCCTTAGGGGGCCGCATAGCCCTCCATGTGCTCACCAGAGGTAGCCTGACTGCCATTAGGTACCAAGATGAGATCCTCAGACCCCTTGTGAGACCATATGCTGGTGCAGTTGGCCCTGGGTTCCTCCTAATGCAAGACAATGCTAGACCTCATGTGACTGAAGTGTGTCAGCAGTTCCTGCAAGACGAAGGCATTGATGCTATGGACTGGCCTGCCCGTTCCCCAGACCTGAATCCAATTGAGCACATCTGGGATATGTCTCGCTCCATCCACCAATGCCACATTGCACCACAGACTGAGTTGTGGGATGCTTTAGTCCAGGTGTGGGAGGAAATCCCTCAGGAGACCATCCGCCACCTCATCAGGAGCATGCCCAGGGGTTGTAGAGAGGTCATACAGGCAAGTGGAGGCCACACTCACTACTGAGCTTCATTTTGACTTGTTTTAAGGACATTACATCAAAGTTGGATGAGCCTGTAGTGTTTTTTCCACTTTAATTTTGAATGTAACTCCAGACCTTCCATGGGTTGCTAAATTTGATTTCCATTGATAATTTTTGTGTGATTTTGTTGTCAGCACATTCAAATATGTAATGAACAAAGTATTTAATAAGAATATTTCATTCATTCAGATCTAGGATGTCTTATTTTTGTGTTCCCTTTATTTTTTTTGAGCAGTGTAATTTCAACTCCCCAAAATGCTGGTTAAAAGAACCAAAGAGTAAAGTATCCAGATCTGTGGCATTGTCAATAGTGTAAATAGTACTTTTAGAGATTAGCCAGCATTGCACATAGTTTCACGTCACAATTTGTTGTGTAATTTTATATTACTGTATTACACATATCTATATATCTGAACAATTATACATTTACTCTAAACCTATGGAAATAAGAAAAATAGCATAATTTACATTGATAATCACTGTTGTAAAATAGTTGGTTTTGTTCACTATTCAAAACATTTATTAAAATAATTACAAGAGTACTTTCCAACTATAAGCCAGTTCATATCTTTACACCTTACACTACTGTGATGACCAACTGAAATTTACAGGGCATCAGTTTAAATGGCATTTCATTAATGCCTTATTATAGGAAATGGATATGAAAATCAAATTCCAAACAAGAAAAGCCATCTCCAAATTTAATTCTATACTTGCAGAAATAGCCTTGTTCTAAAGATGGGGTGAGACATTTGGATGTCCATTTAGCAACCCTTTAAGGCTCAGTATTTTAAAGAAAAGTTTGAGCTGCTTACTTTTGTGTATCGATGAGGAAACTTCATTGTACTGATTATGTTCACATTAAGTAATGCATCTCCATTCACAGCTTCGGCCAATCCAACTCGTTTATCCATAGTTGAACTATGAGGAAGGAAAAGAACAGATACAAAATCCGACCTCGCATCTTGCAGCTTTGCCTGACAAAACCCGTGCAACAAGGTTTCACTTCAAGTATCACAGAGGGTGCAAGTTGAAAGCCTCTTTAGTCCCACCGGGCTGTGTAGGGCAGGAAACCTCTCTGGGTGGCCACCCACTTCCCCAGTTGAGCCTCTGCAGGTGATTTCACTTATGGTCAGAAAATTCCTGCAACTAGTCAAACCTGCTACTGGTCTCTCTTGGCTCAACTCTCCTGCACCCCCGTCTTTCCTCAGCCGCCTCTTCTGCAATTTCAAGACAGGCCCAGCCCCTCGGACCGCCTGCAGAGGAGAGCAGCCAGAATGAGACTTCCCCCAATCCTTCTTAAAGTTTTCACGCGCTCCAAATCAAACCAACATAGCTAAGGTTGCTCAGATGCCTTTTGCCGGAGGCATCCGGTGGTCCACTAATAATACACTGCCAAAAGCAGCGACTCCATTAGTGTGACCTCCCTTCTCTTAGGAAATTTTCGCTCTCGGAGAGGTTTTGCCCCTCTGATCATTCACGATACCATGGCCGGGGTTGGAGACCCCTGCACTAATTCTCCCCTATCCAGTTGCCAAGCCAGGCTGCTCCAGAGGCCAACTGGGTTCGTGTGCGCCCCCAAATGCGGCCCCTTAAAGCCAACTTCAGCCCGAGGATTCGAACCCAGTGGCCTTTTCTCTCGCTTGGACTCGGGATTCCGCCCCGAAAGACCTTAAAGTTAAGGCTGCAAATTACCCACCTGCCTAGCAGGGCCGGGCTGGGCGTTTGGCGGCAGCGGGAGAATTAAACCCTCGCTGAAAACTCGGGAAGTTTCGGCGTCTCGGGCGGGCAGCCTCCCACTCAGCCCCCCTGGGGGCTTCTTTCGAGGCGAGCGCTGCCGGCCAGGGCCCGCCCCCCGCAACCCGTCCCAAGGGGCTTCCAGAGGGCTGAGCCGCCCGGCCCGCCACCCGCAGCCGTTCCGCGCTGGGCCAGGCGAGGCACCGGGCCGGAACTTGCACGGGACCCCCGGCAGAGCCGAGGCCGAAGCTCCTGCGCGGGGGACGGCAGCGGCGTCTCGGCACGGACCGGCCCCCGAATGAAGCCGCTTCTTCTTCCGCCGGGGGCAAGAGGAGCCGCCGCGGAGGCAGCCATGGAGGCGCCCGGCCTGACAGTCCGCACGGCAAGGCTTAACGCGGCCGCCGGCCTACCTGGCAGGGGCGTTGTGAAGTTATCGCCGCGCGCCGGGGAACCGCGCGGGGCAGCAGGCGAGGCGAGGCGGCGGGGCCACGGCCCGCACGACGGGAGGGGTTTTCCGGCGTTGCTGAGCGGGGAAGGAGGGAAGCGAGGCCTAGGCCGCCCCGGAAGACGTACAGCCGCGCCGGCAGGTGACTCAGCGGGTGCCTCACCTGGACCCCGCCGCCAAGAGCCCCAGCACCACGCTCGCTGCCGCCGGGCTCGCTTCACGCGCTCCGGGAGGCCGTCTCCCTTCGCCGGCCTTCTCCCCCTCAGGCCCAGGCACCGCCACCGCTGTCGCTGCCGCTGCCGCGCTCGTCCCGTAGTCCGTCGTCCGACCCTGCCGGGCCGCGCTCGGCTTGTCCCGCCGCTCAGTCCGTGCGCGGCTGCCGCTCCGTGTCTCCTCAGCCGCCGTAACCGGGGCCTCAGTTACCCACCCCTCCCCCTTTATAGTACGGCGCATGCGCCATGCACGCGCCCCCTTCCTCTCCCTCTCCGCCTCCCGCCGCGCGCGTGGGAGCGCGCGCGCAAACGGCGCCCTTCTTCCGACGGCCTTGCTCGGAGAGCTGCCCCCCGCGCGCGCCTGACGGGAAAAAAACGTGGCTTTCCCGCGATTGTAGGCTCAGAACGCGGAGCGCCACCCCGAGAACCAGTCTTTGGCCAGTGCGTGGGCTTTGGGGAGGGTGTACATCACGAGCGGCAGGCGGGTGCCATGTCGGGGCTGTGCGGGAAGGGTCCTTCAGGCGGCCCGGAAGGCAGCCTGCTGAGGACCCTTCGAAAGGGCGGAGCCACGCGCGAACGGACGGTGGCCGGGTTGGGACCGCGCTCATCCGGCGCGAAGAAGTCCGCGAAGGCGCCCAGCGGTTCGGAGCAGCCTTTTTCCCCCACAGCCCAGCGCGTTCTTTGGGCCGGCTTCGGGCGCTCGGCCGACGGCGGTATGCCGCTTTAGCCGCCGAGTTTCCTCGGGCTGGAGGGGCGAGAGGGCGCGGCCCCTCGGACGTCTTTGCCGGGGGTGGGGGCGAGTGAGGCGACACCCGCCCCCCCGTGCGCACTTTGCGTATGCCCAGACTTGCAGGGGTCTCCAACCTTGGCCCCTTTAAGACTGGTGGACTTCAACTCCCAGAATTCCTTAGCCAGCAAAGCCGGTGGAGTTAGAGCAAAGCTGGCTGAGGAATTCTGGGAGTTGAAGTCCACCAGTCTCAAGCGGCCAAGGTTGGAGACCCCTGACACGCCAAGCCGGGTCCAAACAGGTCGTTTGAATGTGCGAACTCGGGACTAACACAAGTTCTTTTTTCCCCTGCCAGAAATCGGGGGCTCCGCCTGGACGGGAAGGGCGCCCAATGGAGAGGAAGGGCCGGGGCAGGTGAGAAGGACCGGCTGCTCTCACCTGGGTGGCGGGGACAAAAGCGCCTTTTTGGGGGAGGCGGGGAATAATGTCTGCTTGGGGGAGGTCAGTCCTCGGGAAGGTACCATTTTTAAGGACTCTGCCTTGCAAATAAAAACTGGCTGGTGAGAAAGAGCAGCAGGGCCAGAACGGCTGCCGTCCACCACACCTGGGTCATGCATTACCTTAAGACAGTGGTCTTCACACTTGACAGCTTTAAGACTTATGGACTTCAACTCCCAGCATTCCCCAGCTAACATGACTGCAGGAGGAATTCTGGGAGTTGAAGTCTTAAAGTTGCCCAGTTTGGAGACCTCTGCCTTAAGGTTTAGCCATACCAGCCGGTCCTTGCTTACCGACCGCTCATTCTGTGACTGTTCAAAACGAAGCACTCTGATGATGAATGCAAGAGATTTAGTGGGGGGGGGTTAAAGTGGCTGGGCTGCAGCACCCCCTGCTGGCCTTAGGATCACCGCTTCACAGCTGGCTTCCCACAATTGGTCAATGGAGAATCCTGCGGGAAGTCTTAAAGCTGATTGATTCATTTGCTGGCCGAAATCATTAGTAGGATGCAGTCACGTGGTGTTTCATTTTAATGACCTTGTGGCTTAGTGACCAAATTGCAAGTTGGAATTGCAGGTGGTAAGTGAGGACGGCCTGTCCTGATTTCATTCAAAGGAAATGTTGAGGGATTAATAGCCTCTACATTTGACTTCTCTTATTTTGCTTGCCAAGCTCCCTCCTGCTCTACTATCTGAGTGTGTTTTTTTGTGGAATTGTAGAGAATGCATTGAATTACATCCGTGTGATAGTTTTTCTATTGACTAAGGTGAGCCTTTGGTTCCACTCATGCTGGCTCAGGAGTTCTGGGAGTTGAAGTCCACTGCATTCAGTTTTGGTCGCCACGGTGTAAAATCGATGCTGGGACTCTAAAAAGAGTGCAGAGAAGAGCAAGAAAGATGATTAGGGGACTGGAGGCTAAAACATACAGAGAATGGTTGCTAGAAGAATTGGATATCTCTAGTTTGATGAAAAGAAGGACTACGGGAGGCATGATAGCTGTCTTCCAGTATCTCAGGGGCTGCCCCAAAGAAGAAGAGGGGGTCAAGCTATTCTCCAAAACACCTGAGGGCAGGACAAGAAGCAATGGATGAAAACTAACCAAGGAGAGAAGGAACCTGGAAGTAAGGAGAAATTTCCTGACAGATCAATTAACCAGTGGAACAACTTGCCTCCAGAAGTTGTGAATGCTCCAACACTGGAAGTTTTTTAAAAGATGTTGGATAACCATTTGCCTGAAGTGGTGTTGGATTTCCTGCCTAGGCAGGGGGTTGGACTAGAAGACCTCCAAGGTCCCTTCCAACACTGTTATTCTAGTAAAGGTCATTAGGGGGCCATAGCTGCTCAGCCTGCTTTAGAAACTTAGAAATATTATCTCGGTTTGCATATTTTATTACGCTGCAGTATGGTTTGCTTGGTTTTGGTTTAACTTATTTAGGGAACCCAACTGTTGCTTGCTATCTGCATTGCAGTTAGTCCTTGACTTTTAACTAGTCATTTATAATAGACCTACTTTGGGGCTAGTTATGACCCAAATTGGAAATTCTGACCTCCCCGTGGTCATGTGGCCAGACCTCAAGTGCTTGGCAACATGGCCTCATTTAACTCATTTGCAATATCCTCTGGTCATATGACTGTATTTTATGATGGTTTTGCCAAAACCTGGCACTTCTAATGTTTGGCAGAACCACACCCATAGTAAACCAGGTTTCTTTAATGATCATAGCATTTGCTAATGACCTCAGCAAAAGAGGTCATAAAATAGGCCAATATTGACCTGTTTTATGACTGTCATAAATGTAACCATGATGGACAGGCCTCCATTGCAGTTGAAGAATACCTGCAGTGTCTATCTTAGCATTAAATTATGTGGAGCCTGAATTTCAGGCAGGTTGGTTTAAAGAAGCTGATTTGCCTGCCAATACTGTCAACATTGGAAACAGAAAAATAAAGCTATTGTAGCAGAAAAGATTTGAAGAAATAACAGAGTTGGAAGGGATCTTGTAGTCCAACCCTCTGCTTAGGCAGGAAACCCTATACCATTTCAGGCAAAAGCTTGTCCCATCTCTTCTTAAAAACTTCCAGTGACGGAGCATCCACAACTTCTGGAGGCAGGTTGTTCAGCTGTTTAATTATTCTGGTAGGAAATTTCTCCTTAGTTCTCAGTTGCTTCTTTCCTTGATCCGTTTGGCTTCCTGCCTGCCTTCAGGTGGAGGATCTCTGATGAGGTGGCTCATTTTTGAAATTATTTGGCGTTTCTGTATCTATGTAAAATAGTATTAAACTATATTTCTAATGATAATAATTATAGTTTTTGTTTTAAAGTTCCAAGTTTCAAAAGGCACAGAAACCACATAAAGAATGTATGGGCCGTCAGCCGATACCTTGTCACCCCAACAGAAATTCAGGGCAAAGTGGCAGTTGTCGGATTTTATATCGTGTGATGTATACTTGGAACCGAGGTGGAAGGTTGAAAGAACTTCGTATTAGGTAAGAATGGAATTTGAGTTATAAGTATTTTCTGTTACTCTGAATGACCTATTAGAAATGGCAGGTGTGTGCAAGAATGAGATCTTAAAATGGGGCTTTTGAAACGCGTTTCCTTTTTGTCCACCTGGTTAGTATCTTTCAGTGATTTATGCTTCAATCATAAGTCACAGTAACTGGAATACATTGAAAGGTACATCCCAGTAACATAGGTTCAGAGAAAATATAACTTAGATGGAATCTAAACCAAGGGTGTGCAACCTTGTTAACTTTAAGTCTTGTGGATTTCAACTCCCAGCCAACCATAGGAGTTGAACTCCACAAGTCTTAAAGTCAACAAAGTTGGACACCCCTGATCTAAACCAACTTCTTGCTTGTGAAAGCATTCCCCAGTGAGTGCCACAAATTGTTTTAGCAGAGGTGAATGCTGTTTTGCATGTGAGAGTTTCAAAACAAAGAAGTAAGTGTTGCTTAAAAAGACCTTTAAGCATCTTTTTGTACAAGCTGCTGCCAAGCCAGACAGGGTGATATAAGGAGCTGATTTAATGCACCCCTGGTGGGATTCACTTGCTGCATTCAACTGGAAGTGGCTTAACTATAGTTAGTTGTATATGTCAAAACCAGCACAAGTTCAACCATGTTTTGTGTAATCAGGTACAGTTGAAATTAATTTTTTTCAACCATAAAGCAGTGTTACAAGTCACAGGGAGTGGCTTCGTAGAAGATGCTAAGCAAATTAGTCAGTGCAGTGTGTGAACCAGGTCACTGGATCAGTTATGTTGTCCTGCACCTCAAGAAGCAAAAGGAGTTTTTAAATCAAGTAAAACTCTGCTCCTTTTTGCTGATCTTCTCAAAAGGATGCTTAAAGCCGCAACAGAAGAGAGCTTTTGTGGCCATTTCAGGGAGGTTTAGAATCTAAGGGCCCAGAGGGGGGTCTGATTCCATTTAATCCATTTTTATAAATAGGTGGGGCTTTTTAAAAGATGGCTATTGGCTTCCGTGATCTAAACAGATTTGTTTGGCATCCTTGGGCATCTGGACTGCCAAACTCTGAATGGTTTGAACAGGTCAAGAATGAGCCATCTCTCAGCCAGGTTTCACAGAAGCTCCATTTCCTACCTCCACTTGTAGTTCCTATGACTCTGCTAGAGAAAATGGAACGTCTTAAAAATAGGTTTATTTAGGACAGACTGAGGCAAAGGTTTGGAGAAGAAAAGCCTGGGGCCAAGAAGCATTGCAGTCTCCATTTGTTTCCCAGGCACCTGGCAAGGAAATTTTTTTACCTGTGGAAGAGGAAGACATTTGGAAGAGTCCTGCCATCCAAGGCCAGGTAAGCTTTTGGCTCAAATATGTTTGCATTTCTGCAGTGAGACTACAAAAACATGGTATCGTCAGGAGTGATTTATCTATAGGCCAGTCAAGAGAAAAGGAGGGCTCGGGGAGACGTGACAGCATCTTCCAATATTTGAGGGGTTGCCACAAAGAGGAGCGGGGTCAAATTATTCCCCAAAACACAGAGGGCAGGACAAGAAACCATGGATAGAAACTAATCAAAGAGAGAAGCAACCTGGAACTAAGGAGAAACTTCCTAACAGTGAGGAGAATTAACCAGTGGAACAGCTGGCCACCAGAAGTTGTGGGGGTTCCATCACTGGAAGTTTTTAAGAAGAGACTGGACAGTCACTTATCTGAAATGGTAGAGGGTCTCCTGCTTGAGCAGGGGGCTGGACTAGAAGACCTCCAAGGTCCCTCCCAGCTCTGTTCTGTTCATTCTATCCAAACTTTCATTCCCATAATCTTTAACTGGGTGAAATGGCATGAACTGGGCAAACCGTCTTTGATCTGGACTAACTAGCAGAATATGTCAAAAATCTAAGTCAAAAATCTAAGACCAGTGACTCCCCATTTTGGCAAATTTTATAAAACACTTTTTGACATTAAACATGATGATAAAACACTTTATGACATAATATGGTCCCAACCATCGATCTCGGCTCTGGTGCTGAGAAAGGAGGAGCAACCAGCCAGCCCCCAAGGTCACATTTCCCCAAGATGCATTTCTGACGCTTCTGCTGCTGTAAGTGGACACGCGTTAGCTATTGTGTTTGCCTTGGAGCAGGGGGCTGGAGATCTGGATGCAGAGGGCTTTGCCATGACCAAGGGGGCTTCCTGGGTTGGCTGAATTGGGCTGCCCCCCAGGGCTTCCACAGGCCAAATGAGCTGATTAGAGCCGGGGTCTCCAACCTTGTCAACTTTTAAGACTTGTGGACTTCAACTCCCAGAATTCCTCAGCCAGCAGAGCAAAAGCAAAAGGAAAGCTGGCTGAGGAATTCTGGGAGTTGAAGTCCACAAGTCTTAAAAGTTGACAAGGTTGGAGACCCCTGCATTAGAGGGTCCAGGAGAGGATGTGGGTAGTTCTCTCAAATGCTTAATTAGCTCCAGATGTCCTTTGTGAGACTGCGCCAGAGCACACACTAAATTGGTGTGTTTTCATTGTCATCTCTCTGCAGGGCTTATTTTGTTCAGAAAATGCTGCAGAAAACCTTTGGAGAGTGGAAGGAGGAATGGTGGGTCCTTTGCAGAGAATGGAAACTTACCGTCAGAGCCGACTGCCATTACAGGTCTGTGCAAGAGGTGTTCTGATACCACCTGGCTCTTTGGGCCAGGAATCCATTTGAGACGGTTAGAAAATTGCTCTCATTTCCCAGGCTTATGTTGTCTTTCCTGCATCCTAGCTATTAAAAAAAAGGTCCTGTTCAGGCATTGCACTAAACCATGATGCATGCTAACTACAGTTTAGATCCGTGATGGCGAACCTATGGCATGTGTGCCACAGGTGGCAGGCGGAGCCATTTGTGCGGGCACGTGAGCCCCAGGCAAAGTTACCTGCACTGCGCATGCGTGCGCCTCCCAGCTGATTTTCGGCCGGTTTGCGGCCTTTTTCGGCCTCCCAAAGGCTTGAGGGAAGCCTCTGCAGCCTTTGGAAGCTGAAAAACAGGCCCGTTTCATCACTTCCTGTATTTCCGGAAATACCGGAAGTGACAAAACAGTCCCATTTTTCAGCCTCCAAAGTTTTCAGAGGCTTCCCTTGAGCCTCTGGGAAGCCAAAAATCAGCTGGGAGGCACAGTGCAGGTAAGGGGGCTGCGGGGAGGGAATCACGCACATGTGCACAGAAGGCGTGGGCCCCCCGTGCGCATTGCCTTCTGGGTGCTGGCATGTGAGCACAATTTTTGGCACAGGAGCCCAAAAAGGTGAGCCACCACTGATCCTAAACCGTCTTGAGCCAGGCAAACCAGATTAGCGTTGTTTATCTGTGTTTAGTTTCCATCTACTCAACATTTCTCTTCTGGGTCTCTGAAGATAAAACAAAATCTATATTCGACTAACATTCTTGTTCCTCTTATCCTTAACAGAGCAAAAGCAACAATTTTTCAACCAAGATAACCTCAAAAGGGCTAACTTGCAAAATGTGCCAACAATCTGAGACCATGGAGTTGAAGTTTGGCAAATGTTCTCAAACACCTTATGACATTAAACAGGATCATAAAACACTTTATGGCATAATATGGCACCTCCCCCAACATTTCCTGTGCTGAGGTTTTGGGCTGGTCAGTTCAGTGGGGGCTGCTTTCCATGCAGAGCCACCTCTGAAGGTCTCCCAACGTCCCCAGGGAAGGCAGGACTTTGGAAGTCGTGTGATTGTTGAAGTCACTGAAGGAATGTCTCTGAAAGAATGGCTAATAGATCATGGGTTGTCCAGTATGAAATAATATTTTGAAATGTTAAACTAAACCATAGTTCAGGGGTCTCCAACCTTGGCAACTGTAATCCTGGAGGACTTCAACTCCCAGAATTCCCCAGCCAGCTTTCTGGGAGTTGAAGTCCTCCAGGCTTAAAAGTTGCCAAGGCTGGAGGGCCCTGCCATAGTTGGGGTCCAGTCTCCAATGTTAAAATAATTTGTTTCATCCCGTATTAGTAAGTCAAATGTAAGCGCTCTCCTTGAATTGTTCTAGTTCCTTCTGGGTTCCCTCTAGTGTCCAATCTTCAAGTACCTATCTTAAAAAAAAGGATTTAAAAAAAAGATATTTTCTCATGGCAAGAATTCTTATTCCAAAATCTTTTCAAATTTATGTAGACCGTTTAGTCCATTTGTAACTTTCTAAAATCAAAAATTTGATCACTTTTTTGCTGTTTATTCCAGGGGAAAAAATGTTCCTTGTATTTCAAATTTCTTTTGTTAGGGATTGAAGGAAATTAATCAGGTGCTGTAAAATTTGTTGATCTAAAGTTTCCTAACAACTGAAAAGTTGTTAATAAGCAGTTTCCAAAAGGGATGAAAAGAGGAAGCATGCAAACCTCGTGTCCTTTTGAGGACACTGACCATTTGAGCAAGATAGCTGTTCTCTCGCCTCCCAGAGCTCTAAAGCCACAAGAGGCCACTATCTTGCAGTCTCCTCGGGGGGAGCAGTTGTCTGGAGTACTGGTCGCCAACCAGTGGGCCGGGGACCACTGGTGGTCCGTGAGAAAGGCCTTCTGCTCCAAGAGGCTGCGCTGGCGCAACAAGTCTCACTAAGACTCATTTCTGGTGGAGTTTGGGGGAGAGAAAGAAAGACTTCTGCTGCTTTCCTTGCATGAAGCCAAAAGTCTCTTTCTCTCTCTCTCTCTCTCTCTCTCTCTCTCTCTCCCCCCCACCCCAATTAACGGAGCTGGAGACGGTATCCTGCAATCACAAATAAAGAATGGTCGATCAGTAGGAAAACGGGGTAGGGAATTTTCCTGCAGACTTTTTTGGGGATTTTCCCCAAAATCCGTGGGATTTAAAATGATGAGTTTGGTAGTTCCTGAGGTCCAAAACGTTGGCAACCCCTGGTCTGGAGCACTTGTGGGTAATCTCAAGGCCATTCGTTGCCCAGAGAGAAATTACAAAGGTCACTGGCTCTTCACCACAGTCATCAGTTCCTCTTTTAGTGGAGCCACTTTGTCATTTCTTCCCTGGAGGTCCCAGTTTCCTCTTCTTTGGAAAGGGGAAAAGTACGGAACCTGTTGCTTAACTGTAACAGAGACCACATTTATTAAAAATATCACTCTTCTCATTCCTGCCTGGAGAAATGGAAATTCAGGCCCTTCCATGAAGGCTTCCACTTACTTGGCTTTCTCATCCACTCCCTGCGGCTAATTTTGGTGGCCTTCCCAAGTTTCCCATGGAGTTTTTTTAAAACAAGAAAGAAACAGAAATGCCCTGAGTATTCTTATAAAGCATCTGAGATAGCCAGTTTTCCTGTGTACCAACCTGCTACTGGATCCTGCAGGAAAAGTCTCCCTGGTACTGACCCTTAATACACACACACACACACACACACACACACACACACACACACAGGGAGGGAGGAAGACAGAGACAGAGAGACTTGTAAAATAGTTCATTTAGCAAGAAGGGTTTGATATGAAAGCATTTGCAGAAATCCCTCCAGCACATACTGTATTATCTAGACCCGGGATGGCGAATCTATGGCATGCAGAGCCATTTGTGTGGGCAGGCAAGCCCCAGGCAAACTTAGCCCCACACTGCACATGCGCTTACCTCACAGATGATTTTCAGTCTGTTTGAGGCCTTTTTCAGCCTGCCAGAGGCTTGAGGGAAGCCTCTGCAGCCTTTGCAGGCCGAAAAATAGGCCCGTTTCATCACGTAACTGTATTTCCAGAAGTGATGAAATGGGCCCATTTTTCAGGCTGCAAAGACTTCCCTCAAGTCTCTGGGAGGCTGAAAAAGGCCTCAAGTGGGCCAAAAATCAGTTGGGAGATGCAGTGCAGGTGAGGAGGTGGCGTGTGGGGGGATTGTGTACGCATGCGCAGGGGGCGTGGGGGGGCGCGCATTGCCTTCTGGGTGCTGGCACGCGAATGCACACACAGTTTTTGTCACAGGAGCCCAAAAAGGTTAGTCACCACTGATCTAGACTCTAGATGAGCCACAGCTCCACCTGATCCTGTATGCTGACCAAGCCTTCCGTTCTCCATTGGTCAGGTATTTTCTCTACCACAAGGTCTTTCAGGCTTGGAGGTCCTACCTGCTCCAGCAACGAGCAAAGAAGCTCACCTACCGCATTGCAGCAGCCCATGGTGAGAAGGTGTTGGGGCGGGGGGACTGGACTGGGCAGGGGAGTGAGGGTTGGGGCTTGATTCTCAGAAGGAGCTCAAGGCCACTTTCCCCTCATGTGCCCCCTCCTGTTTGTGCCCACCCAAAAGTTCCTTCTCTTTTTGGCCTACTTTTTTTAAAATCCTTTCCAATAGAGAAGGAAAGCTACCCTATTGCAAACCAGAGGGCAAATCTGGCTTTCTACTTGCAGAAAGGCTGAGGGCCTCTTCCGGACAGTTTGCCACCTGGTGGGAAGGTGCCTACCCAGAGCAGGTACCCTGCTTGTGCCCACAGTCTCTTCCTGGAAATGCTTCTGGGCCTCCAGAATTTTCTCCTCCGGACTCACAAGTGCTGCCGCTCGGCTGGGGAGGGGGCGATGGCATGGAAGGCCCAGGGCTTTCCCCCTTGCCTGGAAGTACCTCGGCTGCTGCAGGCAAAGGCCTTTCCCGTGGCTCTTTCATTTTGGCTTTCCTTTTGATTTGATCTCTTGTTCATGTGCTTCTATGATTTTATTACATTGCTGTAAACCACCCAGAATTACTTCGGGTGCTGCCCTACTCACCCAAGAAGTCCGTGTTGGTTTAGAGAGAGCTTTATTTTTTCAGGTTTTCAGCTCACTCACAGCTGCTAGATTAGAACAGCAATTTGGCTCCAGACCAAGTGGATAACAAGGAAATGAACATACGGCAAAAGAGAAGCCAAAATCTAATCTGAGGCTTGGAGCCTCCCGTTAGGTTCGTCAGCCAGTCCGCTGGTCAGAGTTTACAAGTAGAATTCGCAGGGACAGCCCAGGAGAGGAGTTTAGAGGGGGTCATTTCCAAACGAAACCGGCCACGAACAAACCCCAGAGTTAAACGTCCAGGCAATGGCCAATTAGTCCATCAAACAGATAGCCAGCTGCTCAAAGAAGGTCCAAAACACACACCCAATCCCCCTAGCTCACGAACTGCAGCGTCCCACAAACAAACATCTGGCCAAGACCCACACACCTTGCTTCCAGCAATGCCTCCTTCTGCCTGCTGGGCTAAATAGCTCCCAGTGCAGCCCCTCAAGAAGGGCGGGGCCTTTTCCCCAGCCACCTGGCAGACCTCTGCCTCTGGCATTGACTACAGCAGGCAGTTCCTCCCCCTCTTCCTCCCTGGCCTGCAGGCTCTCCCCCAGCCGAGACCTGTCCTGCTGGCAGTTCAGCGTCGGTCATTCTTGACATGCCAGGAACGATCTCATTCTCCCTCCAGGCCTCTGAGGAGGAAGCAGAGGAGTCCTCATCCCTAGGAGGCATCACACTTAGATGAGATGGGCAGTGCAGATATTGGGTGCAGCAAAGTTGGGATCCGGCGTCCACTTTGCCTCTTCTGCCATGGCTAAGTATCCCCCCCACCCCCCACCCCCGAAGTTCAGTGAGTTCCTTCCACCCTTCCAGAAACACAGTTCCAGCATTCCTGGAAAGAGCTGATGCCAAGAGCCGCGAAAGTAGAAAGGCTAATCAGGACTTTTGCCTCATTGCCATGCTGTATTAAGAAGAACCACGGGGTCTCTTCTCCCCCGGAGCCCCTTTCCAAAGGAGAGAGAGGGGGGGTGTTTGTGGCCACTGGCCTCTGCGGTGCTTCTCTTCCCAGCGCCTGCTTGGTTGCACGGCTGAGGTTCTTCATCAAACACCCACTTCCTGTTGGTTCCAAAGTACCTCGTGACCCAGTAACTCTCAGGAAATCTGCCACACGCCTCTGGGTTGGGTTTGACCCTCGTTCTTCCTGGATGCTTCTGTTCTTCCCAAACGGTCCTCCCTCTCCCTCCCCTGGTTCTCACCTGCTTCCCTGCCTGATTATGGCTTCCTTCAACTAATGTTTCTTCGGTTGGGATGCTGGAGGTCCTGCTCTCTTCCATGCCCTCAGTTCTCCTCCTCCTAGGACAGACACGTTCCCCAAGGGATTGAAAACCCACATTTTACCAAAACAATGGCAGGCTTCTGACTTAATTAAACCATGATGTAGTTTGCTTGGTGAGCCAAGCTTTGGACTTGATCAGCAAACTGTGGTTAAAGCGTAGCTTGGCGTAACGTATGAACCTAACTGGTGTTCCTTGTTCTAATGACCTCGCCAACCGTCTTCCACAGCAACCAAGCAGAAAACCCTCCGGAGTTGGCAGCGTTGGCTGAGCTACATCCAGCTCCGCAGGATGAAGCAGTGGATGCTCCGGGAGGCACTGCACTTCCGGCAGCAGAGCACTCTGCGGTGAGAAACCCGGGGCGGCGGGGGGAGACGGGGGGGTTGAATGGGATGGAATATAGTCTGGATTCCCAGGAGGGAGGGGCTGCACTCCAGAGTTTTAGTTTTAGTTTACTTTATTGTCATTGCACCTCATACAATGAAACTAAATACCATCCTCAGTGCATACCACAACCACGAAAATAAACACAAACACACATCCTTCACACCCCGTACATGGAATTGAAAACCCCTGCTATTGCATTTATATTTCACTATACAGTAGAATTCAGTATAGTTACTGCTGTGGGATAGAAGCTGTTTTCATCCTATTTGTCCTTGTTTTATATTATTCTGTACCGTCTGCCTGATGGGCCCTTTTGACCAGGGCTACAATGTGAGCCCCCCAGGTCAGGTCTCCTTTTAGGGTAACACCCAGAAACTTAAAACTGGTCCCTTGCTCCACTCGGTCTCCATGGATAAGCAAGGGCTGGAGGTCTGGTCTCTTCCTTCTATCGTCCACTATAAGCTCCTTGGTCTTATTGGTGTTGAGGACCAAGTTATTGTCTCCACACCACGAAAGCAACCGTTGGTCCACCTCATCTCAGTAGGCAGACTCATCCCCCACCCGGAGATGAGTCCCACCACTGTTAAGGACCGAGAGACAGCGAAGTCCAGATACACATAGACTTCAACTTACAACCATAATTGTAAGTTGCTAAGTGAGACAGTTAGGTGAGCTTTGCCTCATTTGACGTCCTTTCTTGCCACCGTTATTAAGTGAATCACTGCAGCCGCTCAGTCAGTAATACAACTGTGAAGTGAACCTGGCTTCCCCACTGAATTTTGTCAAAGGGTCACAGATCACACGATCCTGGGACACCGCAACTGTCATAAAGACATGCCAGTTGCCAAGCACCTGGATTTTGATCACATGATTGTTGGGGTGATATAAGTGTCATAAATGTGGGAAAGGGACATACGTCTCTTTTTCCCAGTGCCATTGTACCTTTGAAGAGTCAACCAAACGAACCAGGGTTAAGTCAAGGATCACCTGTGGTTCAGTTGGGAGGAAAGGGGGCAAGTCAGCTCCTTCCTAGGAGCTTCCAGAGTTGGTGAGGGTGGTTGTTGACTTGAGTTTGGCAGGAAAAAAAGGGGGCTTCGTGGCCTCCAGTTTTGGGAACTCAAGAGGTGACCCCCTAACTTTGCAGAGTGTCAGGATTCTGGCAGTTACCCCCATTTAAATCATGACCCTTGAGCCAAACTTCCAGAACTTAAAAAGGATGCATTGGGAGTTAAACTGTCCGGCACTGCCTGGGTGCAGCCGAACCCGAGACACACAACGCACCATCACCCCCGACCCCGGTCTTCCCCCACCCCCTGGGTGTATCCCGATTCACACTCTCCAATGGGACACATCCATAGCCAAGAGTCACCAGTCATGCTCTCCAGTTAGAATTTTGCCCGGCAGAAACTTCAGTCGTGTAGTTACTATCTTTGAAAACATTTATGGAATGCACTTTGGGGTTGCAAGCTGCCGCACTGCTGCCCCCTCCCTTTCTGTTGGCAACTCCAAAAAAAACCATAGAAATATTTCATGAGTTGACACAGAGCCCTTGACGTTCTCAAATCTCTTCCTGTTTCAAGCAGGCTCTCTTGGGGATTGTGGCAGAAGCGATGGTGCCAGAGACAGGTGTACCATGGGATGGAGTCCCAGGCCCTTCAGCAGTGGGCACACAGCGTGCAACTTCATGTGAGTCCAGAACCTTCACGGACTTTGGGATGGCTGAGCTCCCGCGCCCTAAGACCCTGGGGTTTGTGGAATGAGGGCAGGGCCCTGGTTGGTCCGCTTTAGTTTGGCCTTCCGTGCCTGCCTCTGGCTCTTAGCTTCCCTGGTCACTCTTCTTACCAGGCCTGGCTGCAATGGAAGGCCCTCAACAGACAACGCCAGCAGGAGAGGGCGACAGCCGTCTGGGCAGCGAGGTGCCTGCAGCACTGGGCGATGAGGAAGGCCTGGAGGTCCTGGCTCCAGTATGTGAACCAGCAGAGGGAGAAGCGGCACAGGAGCAGTGAGTGTCCCAAAAGGAGTCCCTTTCTCCCGCGTGGCAAGTGCGGTGTGTGTGTGTGTGTCTCCTGGATGGGAGGGTTACGAGGCGTGGGCTGAGGCAAGTGACCCCAACAGAGGCGATTCTGCAGGCCAGGGGTCTCCAACCCTGGCAACTTTAAGACTGGTGGACTTCAACTCCCAGAAATCCAATCTGAGGTTTGGAGCCTCCCATTAGGTTCGTCAGCCAGTCCACTGGTCAGACTTTACAAGTAGAATTTGCAGGGACAGCCCAGGAGATGAGTTTAGAGGGGGTCATTTCCAAGCGAAACCGGCCACGAACAAACCCCAGAGTTAAACGTCCAGGCAATGGCCAATTAGTCCATCAGACAGATAACCAGATGCTCAAACAAGGTCCAAAACACACACCCAATCCCCCTAGCTCATGAACTGCAGCATCCCACAAACAAACATCTGGCCACGACCCACACACCTTGCTTCCAGCAATGCCTCCTTCTGCCTGCTGGGCTAAATAGCTCCCAGTGCAGCCCCTCAAGAAGGGCGGGGCCTTTTCCCCAGCCACCTGGCAGACCTCTGCCTCTGGCATTGACTACAGCAGGCAGCTCCTCTCCCTCTTCCTCCCTGACCTGCAAGCTCTCCCCAGCCGAGGCAAAGCTAGCTGAGGAATTCTGGGAGTTGAAGTCCACAAGTCTTAAAGTGGCCAAGGTTGGAGACCCCTGTTCCAGGCCAAGTCCATTGGCTGATGTCAAACTACGTCCAGGTGGAGGAGTCAAGGCCATGAATGGGATGGCAAAGTTTACGGTATCCACACGTGGACTTGAAGGCATTAGTTGAACTTCTTAGGGTGAAGTAACCGTTCTAGGGCAGGGGATTCTTTTGGACAGTTGGCCTTGTATTAAATCCTGTTTTTCACTCCAGGATCCATAGATGAACACCTCCCTCTAGGACAGCTAGTCCTCCAATTACAAGAGTTCCTTTAGTGACCCTTCAAAGTTACAACGGCACTGAAAATGTGACTTAGGACCGTTTTTCACACTTACAGCCATTGCAGCCTCCCCCATGGCCACAGGATCAACATCCGGATGCTTGGCCACTGACTCATACTTACGACAGTGGCCGCATCCTTGAATCGCGTGTTCCCCTGTTGCGACCTTCCGGCCAGCAAAAGTCAATGGGGAATTGACAGTTTCACTTAACAACTACGTGACTCCCTTAACAACTGCAGGGATTCACCTGACAAGAATCCACTTAGTTAACCACCAGGGGAATTCACAGCAACATAAATTTCTGGGTTCGGCTAGAGGGGTAACTGGAGGACTCTCCCCGTATCAGGAGAAGGTCTCCATCCTCCTGAGGTCCTGTCTGTCTCCCCAGGGCTGGCTTTGCAGCACCATCACGCCCAGCTCCTCCACCGGCACTTCGCGGCCTGGCAACTAGCGCAGAGACACCAGGAGCAGTCGGAGCACCTCGCCCAGCAGGCAGCCGGCACAGCCTTGCGAAGGGCTTTTGCCCGGTGGGAATTCTGTATCCGCTTCCTGGGCTCTCCTGCTGTTGGGGGTGAATTGAACTGAGTTGGAATTCTTTATTGTCATTGTACGTACGGTGTATACACGGTATCCCTACAACGAAATTCACAACAGGGTCAGCATCCCCACAACGCCCCAGCTTTGTGTCTGCCAGCTTACGTGTGAAAAGCGTTGATGGCTCACAGAAAAAACAATCAATCCTTTGGTTGGGTAGAAGAAGCGAGATTCACCTGTGTCATTTAGAAAAAAGATGGAAATTTATCTTAGGGGTTAACTTTAATCCTCGTGGTGAGACGAGCAAGCAAATAAGTTTGATAGACAATAAGGTACACGAAGGAAAGCTGTATGCAAAGACCAACATAAAGCCCACGTGGCTTGGCTCCAGGAGACTCCATAGAATCTGCTTGTGCAGGAGGCACGTTGAACGGAGGTCCTTCCCCCACCGCAGATAAATCATGACACCCTCCCTGGTTAGCCTTTCAGGGTGATTGAAAGGCACGTGGAGCTGTTGGTGGGATGGAGTGGGTGGCCTCCTGAGGAAAATGGCATGATCTGAACCGATGCTGATTTTATTGTTGGTGCCAATTGCCTGGAGTCCCATGTAATAAACCCCATTAGAACAGGGGTCCCCAGTCCACAGCCTATTGGGAACCGGGCTGCGCAAGTGGCGGGTGAGCATGCAGGGCTGCATTTGCGCATGTGCAGGGTCTAGGTTGCACGTGTGGAAACCATCCCGCTGCCACCAGTCTGTGGAGCCAGAAAAGCTGACCCTGCATTGGGCGTCCCAGGATAGATAGAGGTGACAGAAGGGCCACTGTCTCCTAACTCAGACAGTGACCGAGGCGTCCATCCCGTTTGGACGATGAGGATAAGTTGAAAGAATGCTTGAGCCACACCAATTCATCTTCATCTTGCATTCCTCCTTTGAGAGAGAAAAAAACCCAGCTGCAGGCTAGTCCAGTCCGTTGCGTTTCTTTCTTTTATAATATTTAAAAATCTTTATTAAATTCTACAATTAAAAAACAATTAAAAAACATATTTCCATTCATTGCAGCATATTTGTAATAGCATTCACTCAATTTGACATATTCTTAACTATATAGAACATTACTAAATATTATTACAATTATTTTACATTTGATTTATGTCTTATTTTCATACATTTACATAGTTATTTACATATTTATACATAAGTATACATAGTTATGACTATTCATGCCAAATTATTTCATCACACCATAACCTTTCATCTCTATTGTGTCCACCTTGCAGCCAATCATACCATAAATTTCATAGTACCCTGTCTCTTCTCTCTCCTTCATTTCCATTGAAAGCCTATCCATTTCTGCACACTCTAAAACCTCTTTTATTATCATAATATCAGAGGGAATGCTATCACTTTTGAATTCTGGGCAAAGGCTATTCTTGTTGCAGTTATAATATGTAATATAATATACTGAAGTTTCTTACTTTTATCTTTTAATATACCCAATAGGAATGTCTCTTGTCTCAATTCAGTTTTCTGTTTTGTAATTTCCTCCAGCCATTTCCTAATTTTAAACCAATAATTTTTAGCTTGAGGGCATGTCCATCACATATGGAAATAGGCAGGGGTGGGATTCTACAGGTTCGGAACCATTCGCTAGAACCGGTTGCTAACATTCTAAGCAGTTTGGAGAGCCGGTTGTTAGAAGAAATTACAGGGCTAATCCTGTAAGGAAGGCAGAAAGGAAACATTCTGGTGTTGCTTACAGAAACTTTCTCCGTTAATCCTTATTACATTCTTGGCAGGACTAGACTTCCTGTCTCAGGAACTTCTCTGGAGCTTTTTTCCCCTCTTTTGCTGGTACTTTGCTTGTGTGGAATGACCATTCAAAGTTACAATGGCACTGAAGAAAGTGACTTATGACCATTTTTCACACTTACGACTGTTGCAGCATCCCCACAGTCATGAGAGGCCAGGTGAGGAGATGGCATGCCTTGATGTGAGTGATATTGAGCTGGCCACACCCAGCCAATAACATGACCACCAAACCACGTCCACCCGGTCACATGACCACCAAGCCACACCCACCAACTAAGCCATGCCCACAAAACCAGTTGTTAAAAAATTTGAATCCCACCCCTGGAAATAGGTTCTCTGTTTATAATTACATGTCCAACAATCTGCTGATCTATTAGGGAGCATTTTACCCAATCTTGCTGGGAGTAAATGCCAATGGTAAAACATTTCGTACAATTTTTTTTTGTATGCTGCTGATAGAGTTATATAGTTTATTTCCCATAATTTTTCCCAATCTTCCAAATTAATGCTGTAACCACAATTTTTTCCAGTCTGTTGCATTTCTTAACCCAGTCCTCAGATGTGGCGTTGTGTGCCGAAGAGGCAGAGCGTTACCGGCTGGCTCAAAGCCACCATAACCGTCGCCTGCTGGTAAGAGCTTTGGGGTTTCTCAGAGAAAAGGCCTGAGGCTTTGGCCTCTTGCAGGCGGTTTGCAGAGCTGCTTTGCGTGCTGCGCCCTGGCACCTGCCCAGGCAGCCGAAGGCCCAGACAAGAAAGGCTGTTCCAGAGGCTCCCGTTCTCTGCGTCTGGAACGGAGGCCAGCTGCTCTCTCCCTTTCCACAGAGTTGGGGGTTTCGTGCCTTGGGGAGGAACGTTCGGGAGGCTTCCCTCAAGCAAGTGAGAAGAAACCTGGCTTGTCAGCAGCACCGGATCATGGTGAGCCTGCCATCTTCCCCCGCTGCATCTATGCAACCCTCACCCCGAGAAGGGTGTTTTCTTTACATTTTTCTGCCATGTAGGAAACATGTGGGAGGGGACAAATTAACAGACCGCAATTGAGCTGTTTAAGGGGTTATTATTCATTTTTTTAATGCATCTGTACAAATTTAAAACCTGAGTAATGTAAACAATAGTTGTTAAATTATTAGCGATGATGACAAAGAAATTAAAATGGTAGATAGCTCTGCGTTCATGGGCTCGAAGGTAGCTGAAGAGGGTGTGTGCAGGAAAAGTGAAAAGGACATACTGAAAGATTAGACTGTTTTTTTAAAAAAATGAGATTATGTAAAACTGTGAAAGCTGGATAGTAAAAAAAGGGAAAGAAGACAGAACGTTTGAATCTGGATGTAGTTATTAAGGGCACCAGGAGATGCCAGAAGAAGCAGTTAGCAGCCATGAACCAAATCTAGGCGGATCGCTTCCCTGGGAGCAGAGACCAGCAAACACACAGCTTGGGCTCAGATCCTAAGCAGATCCTGCTCTAGGAAAAAGAGGATCCTTCCCAGCATGGAGGAGAGCAGGCAGAGGGGAAGAGGGGAGGCCAGGCGGATGGATAGATGCGATCAGAGAGCCCGTGGAGCAGGGGTCCCCAACCTTGGACTTCCACAAGTCGTAAAGTTGGCAAGGTTGGAGACCACAATATGATTGAGCCCAACTTGATAATTAAGGGTTTTTTTCAAGAATTGGGAGTCCTTGTCTGTGATTGGGAAGGGCCCCGGAGGTGATGAGGAAAAATAAAAAGGTTCGTTATATGGAAGGTAGAGCTGGGTGACAGGTAAGTGTGATCCGCTCTTCCCTGGGACCCAAATTCCGTCATAGGTGGCAACTGCTGTTGTTTGGGGACGAGCAAGCGGAAGCATCTCTTTCTCTCTCTCCCTGAATTTTGTGAATGGAGTTGCTCTTTATTTGCCGCCGCTTCTCTTCTCTTCTCCCCCCAGCTCACAACCAGGTTCTGGGCTTGCTGGAGGTCTCGCCTGGAGCAGAAAGAGGACGAGCAGCACCGCCCGCTGACTCTGGCAGCCGTTTCTCACCACAGGTGCTGTTGAGGGGCTTGTGACTCTCTCTCTCTTTCTCTCTCGTGCCAGCGTGGCTCCAGTTTATGAAGCCTGGGGAGCAGGGTGGGCCGGGGCTGGGCTGAGTTTCCCCCTAGCTTGCTAATAAAACAACAGAGGTCCTTGTGAAAATCCTGCGCGGCATCGGAGAAGGGGAGGCAGGGCCGGACGCTCCTTGTGCCAATCTTGTCTCCACAGTGAGGGCCCACCCCCAACATCCTTTCACGTTCAGAGTATTGCAGCGTAAATTCGGCACCAGAAAAGTAAACACAGATGACTGAGGGTTCATCTCACTTCTTTATAAACACATAAAGTAAATTGTACAATACCAGTCATAGATTTCTCCAGCAACCTCGAACAGAAGCAGGTTCAGAGCGGAACAGCAACTCAACTTCATCAGAAACAGGCCTCAGTTTCACTTTAGTTCAGCAGGCAAGCAAGACACACAGCAGAGGAGAGAAGCCGTTTCATCTTCCATAGACAGACTCGGAGCTCAACATAGCTGCCGAGTTGCAGAGCTTAACATGGAGCCATGCCTAAGCTACTTCTAGTTTCAGTTTCCAAACAGTCCTCATTGGCTGGCTTAATTGCTATACCTATTCATTGGCTGACCTTGTTACCAAGCTCTGTTCCAGTTCACGAATATACTCTGACATTTCATACTTGTGCAACAGGGCACGACGGGCTAGAGTAGGGGTCTCCAACCTTGGCCACTCGAAGCCTGGAGGACTTCGACTCCCAGAATTCCCCAGCCAGCTTTGTTTGGGGATGAGCAAGCAGAAGCCTTTCTCTCTCTCTCTCTCTCTCTCTCTCCCTGAATTTTGTGAATGGAGTTGCTCTTTATTTGCCGCCGCTTCTCTTCTCTTCTCCCCCCCAGCTCACAACCAGTTTTCTGGGCTTGCTGGAGGTCTCGCCTGAAGAAGAGCCAGCCCTAGATTGAAGGCTTGCAGGCACCCCTTATGTCAGCAGCTCCAACTGGTGAATTTTGAGGCACTAAGCAAAAAAACAAAAACAAAGCAGAAAGGCCTTCCCCATAAGCCCAAAGACGTACCATTGGCCTGGCCCCTGCAAGTTGGGATTTTGTTCATCCTCTGCTTCAGAGGTCTCCAACCTTGGCAACTTTTAAGACTTGTGGACTTCAACTCCCAGAATTCTCCAGCCAAGGTTGGAGACCTCTGCTCTGCTTCTCTGTGCCATTCAGTTTGGCCCGGGGAAAGCTTCCCCCTGGCTCTGAGCATCCAGAACTGGCTACGGAGCGCTAGCTAGCTAACCCCCTGCTGAAGTGCCCACTTTGCCTTCCAGCCGGGGGCTGCTGCAGACGTCTCTGCGGACCTGGAGACAGCGAGCCTGCGGGGAAAGACAACAGAAGGTGAGCCGACATCACAAGGAGCCCTGAGTGCCAGTCCCCACGTGGGAACTGAGGGACCTCACCCTCCACCCCCTGGACTTCCCACCAGGGCCCGAGTCTGACTGCTCCCTTCCTTCCTAGCCTTTATTTTGGCCCTTCACTCTCAAAGGCTCACAGAAGAAGGTTTGTTAACAAAGAACAGATAATCAGACTTGGAAGTGACCTTGTAGGTCATCTAGTCCAACCCCCTGCCCAAGCAGGAGACCCTACACCATTTCTGACCGACAGCAGTCCAGTCTCTTCTTGAAAGCCTCCAGGGATGACACTCCCACAATTTCCGAAGGCAACTTCTGTTCCATCGGTTGATTGTTCTCCCTGTCAGAAAATTCCTCCTTATTTCCAGGTTGAATCTCTCCTTGATCAGTTTCCATCCATTATTCCTTGTTTGGCCTTCAGGTGCCTTGGAAAATAGCTTGACCCCCTTCCTCCTCTCTGTGGCAGCCCCTCAAATATTGGAAGATGCTCTCCTGTCTCCCCTGGTCCTTCTATTCCCTAGACTAGCCGTGCCCAGTTCCTGCAACCGTTCTTCATATGCCTTAGTCTCTAGTCCCCTAATCATCCTGGTTGCTCTTCTCTGCACTTTTTCTAGAGTCTCAACATCCTTTTTTATAGGGTTTGTAGAGTACTAAAAGCCAGAGGGCCTCCATCCTCAGACTTTAAAAGGTGCCCTACGGGAGAAATGGGCTGAGGGAGGGGAGCTGGAAGCAAGGCCACTGGCTCCGCTTCTTCCCCTTTTCTGGCTGGCCCCAGGAGTTGCTCTGAGGACTTTGGGTGTCCATGTAAGGGTCGGGTGGTTCTGCTTCTGCCTGTGTGCTGCCTCCACAAGCAGCAAGGCCTGGGAGCGGGGGAGGGTGAAGCGGGAGACCTGTCATCCCCAGGTTGCCCTGTGCTTCCTGCATTTGGGGGGTGGGGTAGGCAAAGAGGGCCCCCACCTTCCCAAGTGCCACGAGTGGCTGATCCAGTCCACCGAGGATGTGGAGGGACAGCCCTTCCGCAGCTTAGATTGGGAGATCAGCTTGTCAGAAGTTCAGAAAATGCACACACACACACACACACATCAATCCCTAAACAAAGGAGAAACAATTCATTACAACGATTAATTATTTAATTTTAAATGTATTATTAAATAAATTAATGTAAATATTTTTCAAAATGTAGCCCGGGGTTGCATGAGGCCTGAAAATCTCAGAGAATGCTATTCCATGGCCTCCAAAATGAGCAATGAAGTATGTCCAGTTCTCACATGCTTTTGGGAGGCTCCAGAGGTTGCCTGAGAGCAGAGCCCTCTTGCGCGACTTCCAGAGGTTTCCAGAGGCCTAACATGCCTTCCAAGACGGCATGATGTACAACCAGGGACGCAAGTTTCTTAGGTTCACCATCACTGTGCTAGGTAGTCGATCAAGGGCTCCTATGGCAGCTGTTTCCAAGCCAGGACTTGCTAAGAGCCTTAGAAGGGTCAAAGTTTAAGCTCTGAGAAAGTGTTCTGGGTTGGCGTCTCCCACTTGAGTGACATGGTTTGGTCGGCTGTTGCTTCCTGCCAGGAGACTGGTGGACGATCAGAAACCCCCATTAAGAGTCTCCTTTTGTCTTCAGCTGCAGTGTGCCAAAGCCGACCAGCATCGCAAGGCCGTGGTCCTGTCTGCTGCCTTTCAGGCCTGGGAGCTGTTCAAGGATCACCAGCTCTGGTGGAATGAGATGAACAGGGTGGCCGCCGGCTATCACAGGTGGGCGGGCTGGCTGCAGACTCTGTTTCTTTCTTGCTTGATGTGGATCTTAGCGTCGTCTTCTCTTGAGAGGCTCCAGGAGCAAAGCTAGGGGTCAGGATTCCGGCATTTACCCCCGTTTAATTCATGAGTCTCGAGCCAAACTTCCAAAACTTCAAAAGGATTTATTGGGAGTTAACATGTCCAGCGCTGTCTAGGTGCAGCCGTCTCTGAGGCACATCGTTCATTGTCACCCTTGACCCTGGTTTTCCCCCACCCCCTGGGTGTATTGTAATTCATATCCTCCAATGGGACACGTCCATAGTCCCGAGTCATCAATCATGCTCTCCAGTTAGGATTTTGCCCGGCAGAAACTTCAGTCACCTAGTTACTATCTTTGAAAACATTTATGGAATGCGCTTTCAGTTGCAAGATGCTGCACTGCTCTTTCAAACCCCTTTCCCTCCTCCCTTTCTGTTGGCAAGTCTAAAAAGACCACAGAAATATTGTATGAATTGTCACTAAGAAAGGTTTGTAGCTCAGCCATGAATATCAGGGATGCTGAATCAGAGAAGCTGGTGAGAGGGTCTATCCTTGAACTGTGGCGTCCCAAGAGCTAGAAAGGGCCTCACAGGCTGCAAAATCCCTCCTACAAGTTCATGTAGGATCCACTACCACTTTGGGGACAGTTTCAATGCAGCCTCGGTTTGAGCACCTTTCATGGAAGGGAATACAGCATTTCGTGGGGCAGCTTCTTCCTCTGTTGCCTCTTTTAGCAGCCCATCTAACCCGGATCGGTTTCCTTGTAGTTTCGGTCTGTTGGTTCTGGCCTTAGACCTCTGAAGGGGACCGTCGTAGCTCTCCGCAGCCTTCTGTGCTGCACGCTAAATATACCCGCTTCCTTCATCCAGTCTTGGCCAGATTTGGTTTCCAGGGCCTTCCCTGCATTGATAGCCATCCTCTGAGCGCACTGCAGGTTGCCAACGTCCTGCTTGGATGGTGGGGCCAGGATTGGGCACAGGATTCTGGAGGTGGGGGCGGGGGGGAGGCTGAGCAAGTCAGAGGAGGGGAGGGGGACAGTTGCTTCCCGTGCCCTGCAGCCTGTGTGCCTCTTTGCCCCGACCCCATTTTCCTTATTAGTCCCTGGGTGAGACTGTTGCAGTCTACTAAAACTTCCTAATCTTTTCTGAGCCTGGAGCTGCCAAGCCAAGGTCCCAGAGTTCTGCCTTGCATTTTTTTGCGCCCCTGATGTTGGACTCTATTCCCCACCCCCCGACCCCCACCCCCATATTAGTTTGTCCTGCTCACTTCAGTCCACAATTCAAGGTTTTCTTGGCTCATTACTTCTTCTTGTTTTTGAAAATTTTATTTGGGTTTTCACAAAAACAAAATACAAATAAAACATCTTTTTTTGAAAATAGCATGGTCCCAGGTTATCACTTGTTCATACAGACACAAAACTCAATTTCATGCTCATTTTTCTATTCTATTCCATATCTTATTCCCGTTTTATATTTTCTACATAGTTTTTCCCCTCTTTTAATTTTCTCAACTTTATTTTAATTATGTCATCTCAATTCAAGTCATTATATTTATAGCTTTGTCTGTCCTGTTTCAATTTCATATTATCTTTTCTCATTAAACAAATTTTTTCCTGTAGTTACCAATTGGAGTATGACACCTTTATATCTTTTAATTTTATCCATTCAAACTCTTATTTAAGCTTCAATGTATACCTTTAAATTATAGCATTCCGTATAATACATAACTTCCAATCGAATTCTGCTTCGTACATTCTTGAAATACACACTATATTCTTAAAAAGGAAAAAATTATATATATATATGTAAATAAAACACACATTCCATTCCAATTCAATTCAATCATTAATATTCATTAAAACCTTAACATCTTTAACATTTCTTTTCAATTAAATATCATACTTCCTTGGGAACACTTATAAATTTTCCATAGTTAATTCTTTTTTTCCCCATATTTCTCAGTTATATTTTTATAAATCATTATTAATAATTAAAATGTTCCCATTTAATTCTCTCAATCACTTTAATTCATTTATTTATTAACAAACATTCCACTACATTACAGTAAATATTTTATCCATCATTTTTGTCATATTTTCTAAAATTATTTCTGTTTGTAATATAACATTGCTATCTTATGTACCTTTGCAGAATCCCTTTTACAATTAAATTTTCACCCATTATCTCTAAACAAGCTTATGGTTACAATCCTTATATCTTTTCCCTGTTCCTCCATTTCTTGTTTCTGTGTTTTACAACTTCTTTTCCTTGCCTTCTTCCCCCTCTTCTTCTCCCTTCCCTTTTTACCCCCTCGTCTCTCTGCTTCTAACTCTCTCATCTGTAATCCCCTCTTCTGTTGCTTTCTAATATTATACTTATCTTTCAAATTGTTCTTCTTTTTGGTTGTTTTTTCTCGTCTTAAACCTTTCACTCTCTTTCCCCCTTTTCTTTTTCCCCCCACTTAAAATTATTTGATCAATAAAGATGGCTTCTTCTTTGTCCCCATCTTCTTGTTCTGCAAGCGTTTCTTGTTGTTTTTCATACTTCCAGATCTCCATTTCTAAGAATTGAAATACGAAGCCAAAAGAACCTCTCTCTTCTTGTGCATCTTCTTTCCATTTTTAAGTTCCATTTTCAGTTCTTCTAAGAGTGATACTATTTTAAAGACTTTTAAACAACCGGTTAATTTTAGTCATCTAGATGCAAAAACCAAAAATCACCAAGTAATCCAAATAATCCAAGGCTGTTTCTTCTTGCTTCTTTTTTCCACTTTCTCTTCCTGGGATTCTATTATTTTGTTCAGTTAAAATGTATCTTTGAGGAATCTTGTTAAAATTTCACTCTAAGTTCCCTTTAGTTATAGTTCCATTCCTTAGTTCCAGGCAGTCTCCTCCATTTTTCCAGATCCTGCCCTTTTATTCTTTTTTTTCCTCCTTTCCTGCTTTTAAAAATTTTAAATATCCAGAAATTTTTATTATCCCTTTGACTTTTATTTTCAGCTTAGATGCCTATTAATGTCAAAGTGGGTTTTTTTCAATTTCTTGCTTAAGTCTCTTAGCTGTCAGTATAAGGAATGGAAAGGAAAAAAAACCTAATCCTTTCCCTTCTCCCTCTCCTTCGCAGCTTCAAAATCTTCTTTGGGAACAATGTTATTAAATTTAAATTCCAGGGTAGCTTACGTTGTTGCTTTTTCGATTTAACCCAGTCAACCAAAACTTTTTCTTCTTATCTTCCTCCTGCACATTCTTTTCCGGTTCAGTTCTTCTTTGAGGTGGCCATTTCTGATCACCGCTGCAACCGCCTTCGGGAAAGGGAGTAATGCGGGGAAGAGAGATGCAGCTCTCCTTGACCCTGCTGGCAGTCTCCCCCTTCTTCACCACCTCTACAGGGTGGCTTAGCCCTGAAACCAGCCGGCTCGGGGCGCTCTGGCGGCGAGCACAGATCAAAACAACGCACGATCGCGGATTTCGGTCCGCGCCGAAGAGACTCAAACCAGAAGCCCCCATCTTGGCTCCTTTCAAAACTTGCAAAGTTTAGACGAGCCGCTTCAGTGTAATGTTTTAGGCCCAGGAAAGAGCGTGAGTTCTAGTCCCGTGTTGGGCTTGTAAGCCTGCTGGGAGACCTTAAACCAGTCACTTTCTCTAGCCTTGGGAAGAGGGCAATCGCAAACCATTTCTGGGTGACCTTGCCAAGAAAACTGCAGGGGATTCATCCCAACAATTGCCAGAATCAAAAACTGACTGGAAGGCATCCCCCCTCCCAAAAAAACACGCTACTTACCCCTCTCCCTTGTTAGCCACCTGGGGCCACGTCCCTTGGCTGCTGTGCTGCCTTTGTCCTGCAGAGGAAGTGAGGAGGGGGCCCTGGGACAGTGTGGCAGGAGCTCTGTCCGGCAGGTTGCTGTTCACCCGGTCCAGCTCTGGCTCCCCTCATGCTGCTGTTTTGCCCTTTGCATGCTCAGCCCCACGGCTCCAGAATGTGGGTTGTGGAGACCCACAGAGGCCGGGCTGCTCTCTCCTCGGGCGTCTCACGCTGCTGTGCTCTTCCACAGGGAGACATGGACCAGGCGAGTCTTTGCGCAGTGGCTGTTGAGGCAGCGGGAGCAACGGGACGGACGGGCGGCGGAGAAGGTGGTAAGTGTGGCCTTCGGCTGAGGCGGCTTCTCTGCACGGCTCTGTTGCTGAGTCAGGCCAGGCCCCTCCACAAGGAGGAGGAGGAGCATCTCCGGGCCCATCGTTGGCTCCTCAGCCTGAGGGTTGTAGGCCTGGGTCTCAAAGGGAGCCTGGGAACAGAGCGGCCTAGTCCAGTGGTCACCAACCAGCGGGCCAGGGACCACTGGTGGTCCGCAGAGAAATGTCACCCCCAAAGCAATTAATCCAGGCTGCGTGGGAACACAAGGCTTGCGTCGCTTGCATTGTGAACAACACGAGGTAGTGTGGGCGGGGAAGGGCGGAGGGGAGGGACTTGCCCCACTCGCCCCACATGCCTGGCCTGGACACCGGGCGGCTTCTTTCCACTTCTTCTGCTTTTGGCTGCACGCAAGGAAAGCAGCCAAAGTCTGTCTTTCTCTCCCCCAAACTCCACCAGCAATGAGTCTTTGGGACCCTGCAAGGCCTCCTGCTCCAAGAGGCTGCGCCGGCAAAGACTCATTTCTGGCGGAGTTTGGGGGAGAGAAAGAAAGACTTCTGCTGCTTCTGCTGCTTTCCTTGCATGAAGCCAAAAGTCTCTCTCTCTCTCTCTCTCTCTCTCTCTCTCTCTCTCTCTCTCTCTCTCCCTCCCTCCCTCCCTCCCCTCCCTCCCTCCCTCCCTCCCCCACCCCCCAGAACAGAGCTGGAAATAGTATCCTGCTACCCCAAATAAAGAACGATCCATCAGTAGGAAAACGGAGTGTGGGATTTTCCTGCAGACTTTTTGGGGGGTATTTTCCCAGGGTCTCTGCTCCGTGGGATTTAAAATGATGAGCTTGGTGGTCCCTGAGGTCTAAAAGGTTGGCGACCCCTGGCCTAGACGGCATCCCTCCTGGTCCTGAGCTTGGCCTCAGTTCTTCCTGCACCAGAGACTTTCCTTCCTTGCTTGCTTGGGTCCCTGAACACCGCCCCCCGACCCCCTGCTTTTCCCCACCTGAAGCCAAAAGGCTGCCAAGGAAACCGTCCCAGGACAGCCCAGCCGCCATCCCAACCTCTGGCCTCTCTCTTTGCAGGCAACGCGGTATGCTGAACGGCGAGTTTTGTCCCAGTTCTGGGGCCGGTGGCACAGGGCCACCCTGGCCTGTCTGGAAGAGCGAGAGGGCATCGCCTTGGCCAGCGGGCATCACCGGCGGCAGCTCCTTCGGTCCATGTTGTACCTCTGGAGGGAGAACATCTGGGAAGTGAAGAGAGGGTAAGAACCCAGAGAGGAGAATGCCAACGTCAGCCCCAGTCAGCCCCATTCCCTGATGGCTGCCTTGGTCTCCCAGTGACGGTGGTGCCCCAAGACGGCCTCTCGGGGGGTCACTGGCTTCTCTTTGGCTGGAGGAGGGCAGTGTTGTGTGGATGCTCTCACACAATGGCTATTGCGGGCATCCCCAAACTTGGCCACTTTAAGATTTGTGGACTTCAACTCCCAGAATTCTCCAGCCAGCATAGCGTAGCACAGCACAGCACAGCACAGCACAGCACAGCACAGCACAGCACAGCATAGCATAGCATAGCACAGCTGCACAGCATAGCTGCATAGCATAGCATAGCATAGCATAGCATAGCATAGCATAGCATAGC